TTTTGTATTTAGAGAAACTCCAGAACGGGCGAATAAAAATCACGACATAAGATATTACTGCTGGTTGGTCAACAACAATATTTCTTGGAAAATGTTGCGCTCAATCATGTTTGTGATAATTAAGAAAATATAGAAAGTAGTGGTGGCATGTGGTAATATTGAATTATTTGAGGAAATTATGTCCGAATTATACATATTTTAATAATAAAACAATTGCTAAATTTTATTATTCTATCATTATAATTACTAACACTTGGAATGGCCAATGTAAATATAAGTTTCTCGAACTTTGTAACCAATTAACATTATGACTCAACAATACTTCGCGCTTTGTACTTTGGAACGGATGCATAAACAATTTATTAATGATCTGTTTTAAACATCCCTATAAAAAAATCTTGCACTGTATTAGTATGTTTTCAGCTTTACCATACTAATACAGAGAATGTACCGATTGACTGAATCTTTCGCCTTTTCGTAAGGTGGCCTAATACTAATTAAAATTAAATAAGGTCACTCACAGTAATTTTTTTCCAATCGTTAAAATCAATAACCAAGCATGCTAGAACAAAAAACTCGCTGCAGTTTTATTTGTGCTATAATAGCGCAAAGAGATTTTTGTTAAAGTTACAAAGGTTTAAAGTTCTGCGATTTTACATCATTTCTCCACAATTGTCTTCCTGATAATTCTATTTTTGTAAGCCTTAACCATGATCCATAGAAGTATAATTACGACGTTTTACAAAGTAAACCGATCACTGAAGCTTCAAACTTTGTCCATGAAATTAACTTGCTAATTCATTTTCATCATCCTGATTAGCTGTAAATCATGTGAAAATGTTTTTGAAAGTGCAGCAGTCAAACCCTCGTTTCAATGGATTTTCGTTTCAACGAATTTTGTATTTAAATCTTGTTACAACGAACAACGATTTTTTGGTAGGATTTAATCGCGTTAACGAATTCATGTGATATAAATTTAAAAATCCAAATCCCCCAAAAAATAAAAAAAAGATGAATGCAAATAACAATAATAAAATTGTTTAATTAATATTTTATCCATACTTCCAAATAATAATAATAAAAATGAAAGCAAACAACAATAATAAAATTTTTAATTTTATCCAAATTTCCAAATAATAATAAAAAATAAATGCAAACAACATTAATAAAAATAAATTATTTAATTAAAAATAAAAATCTGATGAAATTTTCTTTATCAAATTCTTACAATCCTACAATTAAATTCTCATAATTAAAACCTTTGAAAATTTCTCGACAATAACAATCATCATCATCACTATCATAATCCATTAAAAAACGTGTATATATCACGCTAAACAAAAACGCGAATTATGTTTTATTAAAACAAAATAAAATGTCGATCATTACAACGCGATTTCCACATATAGAAATTCATCTTTAACTTCAATATATTGTATAACGAAGGAAATATTTATCAATTATCAATTTAAATATTTATCAATTTAAATATCTACATTGTGGAAGTGGTTTTATTTCTTTCGAATAATAATTCGTTAGTTTAAATAATAATTCTGTCAATGGATAAATTAAGGAATGTTAATTAACGCGTAACTAAATAAAATATTGGAAAGATCAGCAAAGGTCAAGCCTTGGTATTATTAGTATGAGAAACAAAATAAGAAATCATTTAATAAGGAAATAGACTTATCAAAGTTATCCTTATTATTGCTGCTATTTCTACTCGTGAAACGGAAAATTTATTAGACCTTTTACTTTCCCGTTTGAATTGAATTAATAAAAAGTTTTTTTGGATAAATATTATTATATTGACTTTTGATGCTTAATTTATTTTGCCAAGAAGCTTAAGCATGGGACCAAATGAAAATGTAATTAATTATAAATAATATTTAACAAAAGATCGGTGTAGTACCAATATGTATAATATAGACGCGTAATTCATTGTTCACTTATTATTTAAACTTTTAAATTAAAAAAAAAAAAAAAAAAGTTTAATCATTTTATTCATTTAAATTCTTCAAAAATTCTTTTTATTTATCGTCGAAACTTTTAATATAATTTTATTTATTAATTTACAATGACAGAGACTAAAGAAGCAGAAGAAGCATTTGAAGAAGTGGTGGAAGAGTATGGATGTGGATATGTACCAGTTAAAAAACTAGAAGTATGTGACTTTTTATTATTTTTTTTTCTTGTAAAAAAAAAAAATTTATTATTAATAATTACGTTCATAAAAAAAAAAAAAAAAAATCAAAGGAATTTGGAATAAACTCTTCTGATATTAAAAAACTTACTGAAAATGGTTTCCACACTGTTGAATCAGTTGCATATTCACCTAAAAAAGCTTTACTGAGTATCAAAGGAATTTCAGAAGCAAAAGTTGAAAAAATATTAGCCGAAGGCACAATACAATATAAATTTTTTTGATTTGATTAAATAATTGATAATAAGTCATAATAATAACAATGATAAAATAATAACAATAGTCGGTAGATTGGTAAACCTGGGATTTCAACCTGCTGCAGAAATTCATAAACGAAGACATGAACTGATCTATATAACAACTGGATCTAATCAACTCGATAATCTTCTAGGAGGTAAGGAAAAAAATTGTGAATAATATCAATAATGTTCTGATATTAATAATGTCAAGATATATATATAATATTTTAGGTGGAATTGAAACAGGTTCAATAACTGAAATATTTGGCGAATTTAGAACAGGAAAAAGTCAATTGTGCCATACGCTAGCAATAACTTGTCAGGTACATTAAAACAATAAATTTCTATCCGATTTTCCAATCCAATCCAATCCAATCCAATATAATCATTTTCTTTTTTTCAAGCTTCCAGCAAATATGGGTGGTAGTGAAGGAAAGTGTATTTACATTGATACCGAGAACACATTTCGGCCTGAAAGATTGATTTCTATTGCAGAAAGGTTTGAACTTAATGGTGACGAAGCATTAGATAATGTGGCAGTAGCAAGAGCATACAACACAGATCATCAATTCGATCTATTAATTAGTGCTGCTGCAATGATGGCTGAATCAAGGTAATAAATATTTCATGTTTTACCAAGTCTTTGAGTTATGTATTTATTAATTAATTGTTGATAATAAATGCATGAATGAATGTATTAATAATAAATGCATTAATTAATAAATAGATTTGCTTTACTGATAGTTGATAGCGTGACATCTTTATATAGAACAGATTATTCTGGTAGAGGTGAATTAGCTGCACGTCAAATGCATTTAGCAAAATTCTTGCGTTCACTTCAACGTTTAGCAGACGAGGTGAATGAATGAATAGTTGGTTATGATATATTAGTTTGTTTATGTTTATAATATAAATTATAAATTTATTATCATATAGTTCGGTGTGGCGGTAATTATCACTAATCAAGTTGTTGCTACTGTTGATGGTAATATGGGAATTTTTAGTGGTGATACGAAGAAACCGATCGGTGGAAATATCATTGCACACACTTCAACCACAAGGTATACCCAGATCGCTACATTGAATGTAAATAATTGTGTTTGTTATATATATAAAATATCCC